TGGGTCAGTGGGCCAGCACCCGGAGGGACCTCTTCTCCGAGGCCTTCTGCGATGAGTTTTCCAAGCTGCATGTTGAGGTGAGCCCACACCCGTGGGGCCACACTGATGAGCTCCTGAGGAAGGCCTTTGGCGAGGACTGGATGGGCATCCTCAAGTTCCAAAGCCAGGAGCCGGTTGGCTCAGGCTGTGTTGCCCAGGTGTATAAAGCCTATGCTGATCTCACAGCTATTGCTGGCTCCCAGGCCAAGGAACTAGCACAACGCTCAGAGTTACGGTCCGCTTTTGAAGCGTGGCAAGTGTCAGGCTTTAGAGGCCTCCTCAGGTGGCTGAGGAGGACGACGAGTGAGGAGATGCGGGATGAGCTGAAGCCAGCAGAGTGCTCCCGGGGAAGTCCTGTGAGTGGGATGTCCCTTATGGAGCAGACAGCCAAGCCACTCCTGAATGCAAATCCTTCATCAGCCAGACCTCTCACGCCGGTAGCCATTAAAGTAAGTCATACATCTGGCGGGTAGATGTGTGAAATTGGAGCGTGCTGGATGAGGCCGATCAGATTTTAATTCCCATGGAGATGAGTAGCTGGGTAGGGCCAGTGTGAGAGAAGTGATGGTCGTCCGCCTTGGTGTCTTTTCTCAGCGCTTTGGTTCCAGCCAGCTGCAATCCAGACTTGCAGTGGCTCCAGCTCTTCCCAGCCCAGAGAGCTCAAGTACATGTACTGCCTGTGGCACCTTTGATGTGGCACATGGATACCAGAAATGCCTGCAAGGGTTCAGTTTATATTAAAATAATGAATATTAAACTTGGTTTCACCTTCCAGAAAATGAAACCCCTTCTCTCCTCACATGAAGAAATCTGGAACAGATAAGTTCTTTCCAGCAAAGTTTATTTAAAGAAATCTTAACATTTGAGCTGTTCCAAATATTAGTCAGCACTGCATGGCATGGAGAGGGTGGGAATGCAAAAGCAATGGAAAATGGCATTGGGTGAGACTGTGGGCTCCAGCACAGATATATTCTATTTGAAGATTATAATGTGTTTCTTTACAGCTTAATTCATGGCAAAATGTGAATTCTTCTGAGGACTAGCTGGGGGAAGCCTTGTTAGCTCCCAGTTTTATAGGCTGGGTTCTGTCTATTTGGAATGCATCACTTTAGCTGATTGAAATAGAACTGTCCTTTTTTACAGCGTTTGGGGAGTTGATCTTGCCACCGTTCATTCTTGTGCAGGTCCTGCATCCTGGGCTAGTCCACCAAGTCCAGATGGATCTGTTTCTCATGAAGATGGGTAGCTGCATCATTGGACTTCTCCCTGGATTCAAGTGGCTCAGTTTGACAGAGATTGTGGAGGAGTTTGAGAAGCTTATGATTCAGCAGGTGTGTGCCATGCCATGGTCCCCATGTACTGAAGCAAAACTGCCCTTTGTCTCGCTACTGGCTGTCTCTAACTCTGTTCATACCACTGCTTTTGAAAGGGTTAGATGAAGGCTTGCTTGTTCTTTAGTTATGTTCTTTATTCTAATCAGTCACATACTGTAGGAAAGCTTATATGCTTACAGACTAAAAAAAGCAAAGCAATGAAAAAATTTAACAATCCTTATTAGATTTAAACATCTTTTTTAGACTTTGAGTATGTTTTCCAGTGAACAGCCTGAACATCCAGCTTAGCCATAGTCCCAGTCCTTTTTGCAGCATTGTGAAAGATGAACACTGGTGAGACCTCTCCTTAGGAAAAGAATCTCTCCAAACAAGTGCTTAGATATGTGTGTTTTCTCTTTAATCTTACACATATGTTGGCAATCTGTACTCATTGGTCTTGTTTGTTAGCACTGAGTTATATATATTAGCATAACTAATATAGTTTCACAGAAGTTAATAATACATTTTATATTGTATTGTCATCAGACTCATAGTATCGGTAAAGTTAAGCTTTGCAAACAGATCTGAAAACGTGTCGTGATTCACTAATATTTTCTAAAGACACAGTCCTGAAACGTCCTTACTACCAAACTTATAAAGATTTCACTACAGGCTTAATTAGGCTTATGTTTCTATTAAAATGAAGCATTATCTGCAAAATTAGGTTTTGTGTCTAGATTGCAGAGTCTGAAGTCTGTTATAAGCTTTTGAAAGCCTTAACTCTTTTCTACTATTGCAAAAATATCTACACAGTAAATACATGCTGTAAACTATTGACTGTATTCAGATGTGACTCAAGGTCATTAGTGCCAGTTTAGGCTGGCAGAGCTTTTGGTGCATGTGCTGAAGACTGAGGATTAGGAGAGCATCTGATAGGCTTATTGTAATTTCCTTTCATTTCTCTTGAAAGAACAAGAAGTATTCCTGGGATATTTCCCATTGCCAGATGAGGGAGATGAGGCAAGGTGTATCGTGCCTCCTTGAGCAGCAGCAGCAGGCAGGAGAGATGCCCTTGTGTCAAGGCACTGAATCACTGAAGAGCTAGGGCCAGGACTTTGCATGGTGGATTATTTGGTACACGTTGTGTTAAATTTCTTCCTGCTATGGCTGCCTGTCTGTAAAGCGAGGCTAGGGCTGCAGTTGTTCTACCCTGTCTGCCTGCCTTGCTATTTGGATGGTAAGCTTTGGTCCAGGATCTGTCTTACCCTTGAAAATAAAATAGTCCTGGTCTTTTTTTGAGACACCATGCCTACAGTAAGAGTCGCCCATACTTCAAGGGTGCTGGGTTGTGGGCCATCTGTCACTCAGTCTATTACTGTACCCTTCCATCAGGAAAGTTACAAGCATGTAAGAAGCACCACTCCATTCTGTTTTCATTCTGGCTTTCTGACTGTTTTTTTTGGTATTGAGTATTGCACCGTATGGTCATATCCTCATACAGAATCCTGAAGATCTAATTCTAATTGAATCTAATTTCCAACCTGCTTTTTCTTTTTCTCCCTTGAGATTGACTTACGCTATGAAGCCAGAAATCTGGAGCGCTTCCGACAGAATTTCCTAGACGTCGATTTTGTGAAGTTTCCAACTCCCCTTTGGCCTTTGGTAACGACAGATGTTCTAGTGGAAACATTTGAGGTAAGAATTGCAGGGTCTGGGAGCTGTGGTAGCAGTGAGAAGGCCCTTAGGGGAACATGCCAAGGAGGTGTTTTTTTGAGAAGGAGCAATCAGAGGCAGAAGGATGCTTTTCTCTTTTTTGCTTGAAGAGATTGGTGTCCCTCCTCAGTGTCTCTTCCACTCTGTTTGTAAGCAGTGCATCCCAGAAGACAGGTGGCAGACAACTCCATAGAGAAGTGAACACTTGGCCTGAAACCAAGCGGACCAGCAGTGTGTCCAGCCACCATGCGCTTGCCTGTGCTTTGCAAACCAACACCACACTTCAACTCTCCTCTGTGGTGGGTCAAAGCAAGGAGCTCAGCCATCTGACACTTTCTGATGCTTGCCTCACTTCCCTTGTGGATGTTTGAGTCACAGACCAAAGCTACTCTCAGCCTTAGTTTTTGTGCATGTGATCTTGGCAAGAGTATTTCTGCCCCAGGCTATGTCACACCCTCTTTCCAAAGAACAAACCCTTGCTTCTCTTATGTTCTCCATCACATTAGGTACAGCCTCTATCGAGCAGGTCCTTTCTAGGGTGGTGTTACCACCTTCCCTCAACTCCTTGCACCTAGGTAAAGGTGTGGTTGAAGGTGGGACACAGGGTGTGTTTGACTCCAGCTCCATCTTTATTTCAGGAGAGTGAACCTATTTCGCACTTCCTGCATGCAGAGATTGCCGCAGACCTGAGGCAGAGACTTGCAAAGATGGGCATGGACATGCTGCTAAAGATGGTAGGCACTTGGCTGAGGCTGGAAGTGAAGGTTGTTTTCCTGCAAAGCTATTCAGTTGGGGTAATAAGACAATATGGCTAAAGAGAGTACCTGTTTGCTTCCCATGTCTCCTACCCTTCTTCCCATGGACTCAAAGATAGAGCTGTGCCTTTTGGAGCCAGCCCGTGGCTGCCAGGTATCTTGTGGTAACCCAGGACTTGGGCTGCTAGGGCACTGTGCAGCTCCTGAAGTGGCAGAGGGAGGGTCTGTACTTCGTGCACAATGTAACACAAGGTCTGAGTAAAGCCTGGGCTGGATACACCGCCACTGTAGACTTTGACATAGAGCGTCTTCCACTGCAGGAGGGCGATCTGGTTGCACACAGGAGGGTCTCCTATGCAACTTGATCAGTGCATTGCTTAGGAAACCCCGTAATCAATTTAATGAATATTCACATATTGCCCAAGTGCTATAAAGTGCAATGTAATTAGCAAATATCTTGCTCTCCACAGAGACTACCGGTGTGGCTCACAGGGAAAACAGCTAGCTAGTTTCTTCATTTATTGACCCCCTCCTCCAAAACTACCTTTTTTTAAGAAAGAATTAAATATGGAGTAAAGAAAACAAACCTGGACAGATTCAGCTTATGATTCAGCTTCTGGCTGTCTAGTTCTTTTGTGGTCAAAATAATCACAAATGATCTGGAAAGGAGTGTTGAGAGGTGGCACAACTGGCTCGTGAGGCACCATGAGAACTAGCGGGGAAGAGTTGCAAAAGAACCTCACAATACTGAGTGTGTGGGCAGTAAGCGTCAGATGAAATTCAGTTGATAACTGCAACATCATGCTAGGGCAATGGCAAGGCCTGCAGTTCTGACTCCCTGTAGTACGACAGACTCGGAAATGGCTTTTACCACTTAGAAAAGCAATGGTGGAGCTATAATAATTTTATGCTAACATCAGATTCAATGGTTAGGAGTAAAGCAAAGTCCCCAAACTTTAGGAGTAGAAAAAAAAATAAAGAGCAAAGAAACAACATAATGGCTGCAAGTAAAACAAATACCTGTTTCTTGAGTACTCTGTGCAGTTCTAGTCCCCTCACAGTCCAGGACCCTCCATTTCAAGGGCTGTAATAGAACTAGAAGAGGTGCAGAGGAAGGCAGCCAGGATGATTACTGGTGTGGAATGGCTTCCACACAGGAATGGTGAAATAATTTGGACTCATAACTCTGGAGAGCAGAGAAATGAGAGTAGCTTATGACAGATATATATGCAGTCATGGGTTCATGAGAGTTAATATGGATCTATTGTGTATGGTTTCTCGGAACAATGAGGACATAAACAGAATTATCAGAAGTCACTTTTCCAGGCAGCACCTTAAAAAAAGGTCCCTTTTTCACACAGCTCTAATTATTTACGTGGCAATTGGACAAATTCATAGGAGAAGTCTATCAAATACAAAGATAACCTCCTTGGGCTAGGAAGTCCTGCAGTCACAGGTTGCCAGGAGGGTTAATGGGGAAGTATTTGTGCTTGCCCTCTTGCTAGTGCTTTTTGCTACTAACTGCTAGCAGAGGCAGAGAAGTGCTACATACATTTGTTTCCTCTTTTCTTGTTTTCTCCTCACTTTTCAGTACAGTTGTAATGTGGGTTGATGTCCCAGACTAGACAGACTTAACCATTCTCTATAACCCATACCACTGAATGGCAAATGGCCTGTTCTTACTGCATTGCTCTTTGCCAAGGCCCACCAGCATGCATCCAGATAGGGTTAATTGCCAAAGAGCACTACTGTTCCCTGCTGGGACTCCTGGGTGTCCTACCTGACCTCTAGGAAACAAAGACGGTTGCTTCACACAGCTCTGCTGACTCCCCTGGAGTGAGTAGCACCCATGCCATTTCAGCACAGCTGGTCTCCAGCAGAAGCCGTTTGCTGTGTTGCTGCCTAGGGTGGTGCACATTAGTAATGACAGTGAACAGACCAGAAATGAACCTCTGCTATTTGCCTGGCAGTTCTGACGTGGGCAGGTTTGGTTGGAATGAGCTGCTCTAAGACTTGCCCATACTCTAGGTCTTTGTTGACAACTTTGTCCATGCTGACCTGCACCCTGGGAACATCCTGGTTCAAGGCACGGCCCACGTCAGCACCAGCTGCAAGGAGCAGACAGCCATCGTGGACCTGTGTGACACGCTTGTGGTGGAAGTGCAGCCGCCCCTCAGGCGGCTCTGCCTGGTGCTGCTGGATGCGGGGATCGTGGCGGAGCTGCAGAGCGCCGACATGCAGAACTTCCGGGCAGTTTTCACAGCTGTGGTCCAGGGCCAGGTAAGGTGTCTGTCATGGGGCTGTGGAGCTCAGGTGGGGGAAGCATTCCACACATGTTCCCTTCTGCAGCCTTGCTGCAGCTTGTGCCCTTCTCCATTTTGCTGTTGCATTGGCGTCTGTAGAGAAGAGGAAGCAAAACAGGTATGGGTGGAGGGGGGTCTGACCTCTGCCAGGCTCCTCTGTGTAAGGGGAACTACTTTATCCTCCTTCCCACTTATTTAAAATACAACTCTGATGGATTAGAGAGTCCAGTGCTGATGTCTTCTGTTCATTCTGAGAACAAGCATCTGTACTCATACTTGCATGTTGCTGTTTCTCCACTGTGGGTTGGATGGCTCACCAGCATATCTCAAGAGGGACATGTTTTAACTTGATCTGTTTAATTTGTCGAAGCATACTGAGGAGTCGGTGCTAAACAGTGTATTCGGGCCCATCCTGTGCTGCCAGACTTACTTCTCAGCTACTAAGCAAAAACTGCAAACATTTGATTGCAAGTCATTCATGGCTCAGGCTGGGTGTAATTCATGATCCACAGGTGAAAAACTTCTGTGCTGTGTCATTGCCAAACCTGGGGTCTCTAGCTGTGCACATTGCTGTCAGACATGTCTTCCAAGAAGAGCTATAAAGCCTCTTGCAAGTGAAGCTTGGGTATGGCTTCCCCCCCCCTTTCTCACCAAGCATCTGCTGGCATAGAATCAGCTCGTTCTTCCTCTGCAGCTTGCAAATGGAAGGTTGGACTTAGCCTGTAAAGGAGGTTAATAGATGCCCTTCTTTATGCCACTGTCTCCTCTGCTAAGAAGAAAATGCCAGTCCTGTGGGTTTTGGTTTTCCCCCTGAAACTTCTCCTGACTGCCTGAGAGATATCTTTGTTGTGTTCTACCCTACAAGACCTTCAAGAAAAATAAGTAGGGTTTTGCCAGATACCAGCTAAGACTTTTGGACCAGTTCTGCTCTTCCTGTACCTGGTTCTGTTGATGCGTTGGGTCCCTGTTGATGGAATGGCAAAGCACGGCCCTGGGAGTTCTCCCTGCACTATGCCTCCTCCAGGGACACTTGCAGCAGAGGCCTTCCAGGGACAGTGATGTGCAGCTCCCTGTAGGCCTGCTGGCACCAGTGACCAAGTTCTGATTCTCCTTTTCAACTTGTTTCACAGGGGGAGAGAGTGGCAGAACTGATCCTTCATCATGCCCGTGCTAACCAGTGCCAGGATATCGAGCGATTCAAAGCTGAGATGGCGGAACTAGTGACCAAGGTCCGGGGAAACACTGTTGCCCTAGGAAAGGCAAGTGCACAATGTTCCACCCTCACTTACCTGTAATTCAGTGCAACTTGGCTTTCTGAATGATCCATGTGGAAAGGCCAGCTCTGGGCTCATCAGCACCACCAACCAGTACTGGGTGCTTTTAGTCTCTCAGGTGCAGCAAAAGTCCATAAAATCCTTTCTTATTCCCTTCTAATTAAAAAAAGCATGTGTGTTTGGTCGTTTGTTTTTTGGTTGTTTTTTTTTTTTAAATCTCTAACATCTGCAGCTCCCTGTGAGGAGTTGCTGAGCCTGATGTTACAGCTTGCGTCCTGTTAGCTAAGGCCAGCTTGGGCACTTCAGAGAGCGTAGTATGGTGGTATTGAGCAAATTAATGCATGTTGTGTACTGCTGTGAGGTCGGACGTTCTCAGCCTGCCTGGGCTGGCAAGTAAGCAGAACCATGGGTCGCAGCTGAACTCTTTATCCCAGGCAGGGTGGAGGGGATCATACCTTGATGTTGGGTGTTGTTAGCCCAGTAATCTTGTCCCACCACCAGAACCAAATGCTAACAAACACTCAGAAGAATCCTGCCTGTCACTCATGTGGCTCAGTCTTCTTGACCACAGTTTTTTTGATCAGTCGTTAACTTCTCCTTTTGTATTCCAGCTTCAGGTGGCAAGTCTCCTCTCGAATGTCTTTAAACTGTTGATGACCCATAAGGTGAGGTCCTGTCACTGTCTGCCTTCAACAGCTAGAAGTTCATTTGGGGAGGGAGAACTACTGGGAACACGAAGGGCTGACAAGGAGGGGGACTGACTTCTGAAACAAACTGCTAGGAGGGGGCCTGCAGCAATGCATCCAAGCGTTTCTCAGGTCAAGATACATACCCTACCAAGGCCAGTTTCTGTTTTGTTGGGTTTTGTCTTAATATGGCACTTGATGGTTGATATTACTTACTAAAAGGAATGTTTCTGTAACACATAGGTTTTCCTATCTTTTTTTATAGTCCCTTAGAAGCAGAAAATGAAATCGAATGTATGTTCCACTTGTATATCACCGCATGCTTTCTTCCCTGGACCTCTTTCTTGATATGAGGTTACATAACAGCACTAGGCCATTTTACTGGTTTGTTAAAGGCCTGAAAAGCAAGAAGTTGTTCACAGAACAGAGATTCCTCCTTATAACTGATGGTATTTGGAGGATGAGTTTCCATGGTTGCAAACAACTTTGGAAATCGACAGAGCTATGGCGGCCTGAACTAGAGGAGATGAGAAGGTTGTCAGCCACAGGGCTGCCCAGCTTGCAAAGGGCAAGCCCTCTAAACATTCTTTAGTTAGAGGTTTTTGTCATTAAGCCTCATTAAGCTGGTTTCTAATAACATGAAAGGGCCTAAATGTTATTTAGGCCCTTACAAAGCAAGTCCTCCCAACTCTGTGAATTCTTAATTCCCTGGTATACCTTGAAACAACCCTGGTGCCTGGCTGGGGGTTTGGGAGTAGTTTGTTCACACGCAGAGCAGAGGATTGCTTCCTCTGTGATCTGTGGGGGTCTTTTGTGACCATTCAGAAGGTGAGCTCCCCCTTACACGAGTGCATGTGTTCAAGTATGTAGGATACTACTGCAACTTACAACTGCATTAGCGATGGCAAGCACTGCTAAGCTCCTGCTATGCCAGTATGGGGGGAAAAAAAAAAATCCCATGCCCCTTCTTGGAACTGAAAAACAAACTCTGGGATTCTGTTAGGGCACTTACCCTGAAACTGTTGCCTTATTTTTGGGCCTGCTGCTGGATTTCAGTGAGTTCTGAAACTCCAAGTGATGGAGTTGCAGTGTTGTTTCAGGTGTACATATGCTCTCTCCAGCCTCTTCCCTCCCCTCTCAGCTTAGCCAGTGCTGGTACCTCTCTGGAATGAGTTCAGAAGAAAATAAGGTCCGCTGAGTCCATTTAGTCTCTTGTGGTTCTAGGTGAAGCTTGAGAGCAATTTTGCTTCCATCATCTTTGCCATCATGGTTCTGGAAGGCCTTGGTCGTTCACTGGACCCTGAACTGGACATCCTAGAGGCAGCTAAACCACTGCTCATCAAAACTGCAGCTTCTGTCCTCAAATAGACTCTTGTGGTGCTGCCCTCTCACTCTGCAGGGTTACCTTGTGAGCTGACAGAGGAAGAAGCCGAAGGTGAGAAGTTACGTGTATCTTGGGGACATGCCATGCGGTGGTTACTCTCCATTTATTTTGCCTTCAGTTGTTTCAGCCAAGCACCGGGCATGGAATGATAAGAAGGTCTATTCTAGAAACCAGGAAGACTTCGCGCAATTGGCAAGTTCTGACTCGTTACACAGTTCTAAGAGCTGATGTGCTCTGGTAGTTTTTAAACTATCATGTAGTTTAGGTACACAAGATCACTGCAGCCTGATGAGAAAAGCAGTCTTACTTGTCTAAAAGTCTTTAAAAAGATGTTCCTTGATCAAGTCGGTTTTGAAATATATCCGGTTAAATATTTAAAGTTAACTTACTGACTTACCTGCCACTGTGGTATGAGAAATGATGTTCTAACACCACCTAAGCAACTAATTCAGGCTGAAAAAAGCCAATAAACCTTTTTGTCGTTTTTACTTTTAACTTCTACTTTTATTGTAGAAGTGTCCTGAAATACTGCAGGGAGCGGTCTGTTCTTAGTCATTTTGGATGATAAAAACAGACCAGTCAATTTCATTTTTTTTTTTTTCAAACTTCTGTACTCTAGCACAATACTATAGGAGTTTGGATTATAAACAGCAAAAGAAAATATTTCCCTAGCCAGAAAACCTAATTCCATAATAAAAAACAACTTTTTGGAATATTTGTACTGGTCTTAGTTTTTTTTCCTGAAGCTTAAATAAAAGTTGTGGTTTCGTTCCCCTGCCCCATGTGCTTCCTTCCTACTTCCCTTCCCCCTGCTCCCCTAGTCTGGCCCTAGTCAACTCAAAACCTTAACTAATATGCAAACTCTTGGTTTTTGTTTCCTCTAGTTTGCAAAACAAGGAGTCCAAGCATTTTCCTAATGGATGGAAATCACATTGGGAATGTTTAAAATTAAATAAAGCCAGCAAAAGAGCTAGATCATACATGGTTTTTTACAGTCAGTTATTTTAATAGTAGTATTAAAATTATTTTATGGCTGTATTTTAATAGTGAGAAACAGAGTCGATGAACAATTTGAAATAATTTAATACTAAATATATTCCCAGATACACTGTATGTGAAATTGCAGCAGCACAGGGTGTCTGCAGTGCTCTGTTTTCAGGTGGTTAAGCAATGAAGAGAAAGTACATAAGTATGGTGATTATAAAATAATGATTAATGACATATAAATGAAGTCTGAAAAACAAGTTTAGATTCTGCTCGATATATTTCATGTACTTTCCTTTAATTATTATGTATTCCATTTCCAAATGTGTATGGATAAAAGCAGCAGTAGAGTTTAGTATCTCTTAAATTTTAGGCTTGTTTCTGTAAGTCTAGTTAGACTTAAACTCATAACTAGGTACGCTGTTGTCCAACTAGCACGTGATTTTGCATAAAAGAGAATGATACCCGAACTTCACATTAAGGAAAATCTCCATGTGTGGCCAGCACCCGTTTTCCCTTGGTAGTGGGTGTGCCCCCTCCTGTTTCCACCCAGCCGGGGGGTCGAGGTGGTGGGCACAGCACTCTGCGGCCTGCGCAGCCTGGGCTGAGCCCATCAGGTACGCAGGTCTTGGGCACAGCCACCCATGTTCTTGCTGAGCAAATTTCAGCCAGCTTTTCTGGAGGCTAAACAGAGCTTAAACCAAGTGATAGAATTCCATGTCTAAAATGCAAAACTGTGCTTCACATGTAGTTTCCATATATGCAGCAAGTTACAATATTTTCAGACCTTAATTTAAACAAATAAGCAAACAAACAAAATGTCAAAGCCTTGACCTTATATATAGGTTCATCTTCCTTTTCCTTTTTTTTAGACAAAAATCTCAGGATGGTTCATGCATATTATGAATCCTGAAGTTAAAAATACCCCTTGTAGCTATCAAGGTCTCAGAATGGTTTGTAAACATCTGGATGAGAGACTTTAACTGTCTTTTTGGGGAAAGCTGAAGGCATAGCCTCTCAGTTATCTCTGGAGGAACACAGTCTGAGACTTAATGCTAAGAAACTGCTGGCCATTTGGAAGACTTGGCAGAATTTCAAAGGAGCTCCCTTTTACAGGTTTTCTTAATTTTTTATTTTTGGGTTTTTTTTTTTTTTTTTTTAGAAACTGCTGTTACCACTGGTGCTGTGTTCCTGTAAAAGGGGTGAATTTTTATAATACTTATGTTTTTGCTGAGTGATGTACCAGAAAATGTGTAACATATTTCTAAAGTGTACACAGAATGTCAGGCAACAACATTTAAATTTTGTATCTAGTTTGGTTCTAGGTGTTACTTAAAACAAAGTATTGCAAATAGTATATATACTTTAGCATAATTTTGTCTAAAATAACATCCTTTGATACAGCTCTGAATGTTCCAGCAAATAAATTGTGCCATGTCCATTCTCCTTTCCTAAATACCCACATGAAATGAACAGTTGCATTTCTGGCTACCCAAAGCTGGTAATGGTGTTCTCTGTGACACAGCTGCTGTATTTTGTACCTCTGAGGAAGAGGGACAGCACTTCAGGATGTGACACCCATAACCTCCTCCTCCCCTTTGTGAATGAAGGCACCTCCACTCCTCAGCGTACAATGCATTAAAAACCCCCCCTCTTCTCTCCTTTCCTGTTGCAGAAAACCATCTCTTGATGTGCCCTGCTGTTTCCTTTTGAGGAGGGGAGAAGCCGGTAGCTTGCCCACAGGAGGGGCTGTTGTGGGGAGGGAAAAAGCCGGTAGCTTGCCCACAGGAGTGGCTGATGCCACAGGCTTCATTAAGAGAAGTCAGTAATGCACTTAGAAAATCAGGGGAGTCATGAGCAAGTTGCATTGTGAGCTCCGAGCGGTAACTGCTTTTTACCCTATAGCCTGAACGGGGAACTCTTCTCCTCCTATAGTGCCACTGGCTACCTTGGTTTCTTACACAATTTGTTAACTGTCAGTTTACCAATTTGTTTGTCTTTGTAGCATTCTCCTCATTTACTCATGGTGAACAAAAAGTCTGTTTATTCAGACCAGGTGCCCTACCTGCAAAGATAATTTGAGCATCTTTCTGACATAAGATTTCCTGCTTTTGGAGACTGCCAGCCTGAAAGTGAGATTGTAGGCAAAACAGACCCCCCACCAAGCCCACCGCTGGGTTTGGTGATTCTCCAAAGACAGGTATTTCAGGGAACAGACATTTTTCTCATAACAATGCCCAGAAAGGGTGGCTTGTCACCAAAAAAAAAATCTTCCTTTTTGCATTTTGGGCTTCTGTAAATCATTCCTCCTTTAGGGGAGTGGCCTACGTATTCCAAGCAGTACGTATGCCCTGACAGCAGAAGATCTACGCTTACCTGAAGCCCATGCTGGAGGGTTCCAAGTTGTCTCACCATGTTTTGTGAAGCACCTCTCGTGTCACTGGATCCCTGCCCTGCCCCCTACAGCAGTTTTGGCAGGAAGTAGCACAACTTTGTCATATGTATGGGGACTTATTCCCTACGGCTCTCTGTAACTCACGTGCAATGGGACACTTGAAAGAGTCAGTTGTTAATAATGGAAACTGCAGTGGACAATTTGCATTGTATTTTAGCATGTACATTTTCATTGCTGGAGTTGTGTGGGGTTTTTTAACATCCGCCTGGTCTCCAGCTCTCCTTCCCCATATTTCACGTAACATTAACATAGCAAGGTAAGTCATATGACGACAGCATGACATAACTACACTTCCTATTTTATGTGGTCCTTGACCTTTTAGAAATGTACTCTTCTGGTGCTGCTCTGGAAGAAACACAACAGGGCAGAAAGTTCCCAGAATTCAGCAGCAGAAGCCTTTTCAGGCCTGTTATTTAATTTCCCTGCAGGCTAATGCAGGACATACCCGTGCCTCCACCACATCACCTGAGGGGCTCGTTCCCGGGGTATTTCTTCTGACTTTCGTTCTTGTTCTTCATCTCCTACTCTGTTGTATGGCCCATGCCCTCACATAACTGATCCTTTCTCTGTCATTTGCGTCTTGAAAGCAGCCACAACCCGATGCCCCTCTGGCAGGCTCTAGGTATTGTGCACTTTGAATCACTTCTGTAACTCCCAGGCCCTCTGTTGCTCCACTGGGGATTGCCCCATGACACTTTCACCAGCCTCAGACTACAACACTCGGCACTACAGGGGCTGACTCCTTGGGCTCCGATGGAAAGAGCCAACCCCCTTCAGATGCCTTTGGGGCAGAAACTCGGCCCTATGGCTGTGTTTCATGTTAAATACCGAGGTAGCTCTTGGCTGCAGAGTTGGGTCTGACAGCAGGGTCACTGCACATGTGTAAGACAGAAGAACAGTTTGACAGAGGTGGACTAGAATAGTAACTCCAGAAAGAAAGGCATGTAAAGGACACAGCAGTGAAAATGCACTCTGGCTGCAATGAGAGGGTGATTAAAGACCTCTCCAGGAATCATAATTCTGCTTCTCACAGCTGCGCTCAGGCACCCAAGCTCCAGCACACTGACTCACGCCTGCAAGATACAGATCAGGTCTGTGAACTGCTCGAGGGCCCGCTTACCCACTCTGCAGCTTCCTTACGCTAGCAGTGATGCCCGGAGCATCAAAAGATTCTGTTCTCTGAGGTACTGCTGGAGGTCACGGAGTTTTTGGCTTTCTTTTTCCATCTTCTGGCATGAACGGTCTCTGCTCTGGAATAGTCTCCCTTTGGCAGCCTGCTGCTGTATTTGTTGCCTGTCCTGCTTCTGTGATTCTTGTTCTAACATCTCCTGCCGTGACTGCATTCTGCTCCTGAGAAAATCCTACATAAAAATAAAGACATTTACAATTGTACAGCCAGCTTTCATGCTGAACTTCATCCACAGTTACCGCTGGCAGAAGTCAGAAATGGGTATAATCTATGGAAATTCATTCCTTGCATGCAGAAAGACTCCTTCTACCACAGAGATGGAGAATTTTGCTTCCCATCTTTTATCTTTTAAAATG